TATTATTATTATTATTTTTTTTTTATTTTTTTTTTTCAAATGAATCCTGTTCTTTTGAACTTTCTATTCATTAAAGAATCCTGAAAAAAATATATCTCTGTATCATTTTAAGCAGCACAACTGTTTTAACAATAATAAATGTTTCTTGAACAGCAAATCAACATATTTTAATGATTTCTGAAGTATCAAGTGACACTGAAGACTGGAGTAATGGCTGCTGAAAATTCAGCTATGCATCACAGAAATAAATTACATTTTCTAATATATTCAAATAGAAAACAGTTATTTTAAATTGTAATAATATTTCACAATATTGTAAAATTATTACTGTATTTTTGAGCAGACTCCTTTCAAAGACTTAAACATCTCACAGACCCCAAACTTCTGAACAGCAGTGCACTTACTAAATATTTGTCTCTCTGTTTTAGATGGTAGATTTAGGTCTTGTCCTGCATCAAGGCTCATATTTCCGTGACTTGTGGAACATCCTGGACTTTATAGTGGTTAGTGGTGCCCTGGTGGCGTTCGCCTTCACGTAAGTGTCATCAAGGCCCCAGCGCTCATGCCTCACTCCTCTCTCCTCTCCTGCTTGCTGCCTCTCCTCGTCATTTCCTGTCTTGGTCCCTACAGGTCAAACGCCTGTGCAGTCGGCACAGCTCTCTGACACCCTGGAGCGCCAGCCTGCTACCCATAAAACCCAGCTCTCTCTCTCTCGCTCTCTCTTTTCTCTCTCACCATTTCTCTGCCTATGCGTTAGCCATATCGTTACCCTGTCTTTTCCTCTCCTTATCCCTCCTCACATTAAGCCCCAGTTTGGTAATTTCTCACCAAATATCCCCACCCTGCCCCACCATACACAATGTTTTGCCCAGTGCCTACCCAGTGGGCGCGCTTGGGCCCATTTCCATGAGGGTGATGACCCTACCTGGGCACCTGTAACCCTTTAGTGCCCAGGAATCTCTGGAGCATCCAGCCACACTCACCTCAGGTATTTCTACACTCCATTTTTACGCTACATACCTGGAACCGAACATGAGGAAAACAGACAATAAGAAGAAAGAAACAAGAGAGCAAGGGGGAAACATTTAAGGGACCTTATGCTACAGTTTTGTATCGTTGATAGTCTATTTATAATTACTTAAAACTAGTTTTAATTGTTTTTCCTTGAAAATTTCTTGCCCTTAAGCAGAATTAAACAGGCTTCTGTACCTCTTTATTTAGGATTCATTTATTAAATGACCCCTCTTATGATTGACTGACATCTTTGCATGTGAAATGAGTTATAATGATTATTCGTGTGATGAGGGTTTACAGTTGGGTCCAGTGTAGCCACAGTCCATGCAGAAATGAGCTGTTTAAACTCTTAAGATCACACTGAAATGATTAGGAATCTTGTTAAACAAACTGCTATAAATAAAGGCAGGAACAACAAAGAAGGGATTTATGACTGGCAATCAGGATAGCTGACAAGAGGAATAAAGCTGTTCCAGGTCGTGTATCTGATCGCAGCGGAAGCATACAGCCCAGCTACTGGACTGAGAGAGTTACTAATATGAGGGAGAGGTCAGAAAGGTGCATCTGTTAATATGAAACTGGAAAAAAAAATGCATGCAATAGGCTCTTTTCCATACTTCGTAAAGAGCATGAGAACAGATTCTGGGAATCGACATGTCAGATGACCTGAATGAAAGCATGAATGGAAGAAATATGAACCCAGATCATTTTTTTTCTTCTTCCTGAAATACCAGAATCTGAATGCTTTGAAAGAGTAATGTTATATGGTTCTGTCTATGTGTTTGTGTATATCCTCCTCAGTCCCTGAACAACTGTAAACGTGATTGCACACAAATTCTTCTCCACAAAAAAGTCCATATGTGACCCTGGACCACAAAACCAGTCATAAGGGTCAATTTTTCGAAATTGAGATTTATACATCATCTGAAAGCTGAATAAATAAGCTTTCCATTGATGTATGGTTTGTTAGGATAGGACGAGATACAACTGTTTGAAAATCTGGAATCTGAGGGTGCAAAAAAAATCAAAAAACTATTGAGAAAATCGCCTTTAAAGTTGTTTAAATTCAGTTCTTAGCAATGCATATTACTAATAAAAAATAAAGTTTTGATATATTTACTGTAGGTAATTTACAAATTATCTTCATGGAGCATGATCTTTACTTAATATCAACTTTACAATAATTTTGACCCATACAATGTATTTTTGGCTATTGCTACAAATATCCCCCAGCGACTTAAGACTGGTTTTGTGCTCCAGGGTCACATATGCAATGCAGTTCCAGACCGGCTTGGTCCTTTAGGTGGACATACACACAACACATGACATGTACCATGCATAATGGGAATGGCTGTCAGATTCATATTCATATGTCAGAAGAATTCATATTAATAAAGACCTGTTCACACAAGTCTGACCAATTAAATGTGAAAGTGTAAAATACCTGCAAATAATTTTGCACTGCATAGGTGTTCATGCAGAGTCTGATGCTGAAATTCCCATTCTCATTTAGTGTATTTTTTTGGCATCTGAACACTAAAAACTGGAGTACGATATTTCAGACTTTGTGTGAAGTCGTTTATGGAGATGCATTTTGTTTTAAAATGTTTTTTATGCCACATATTAAGACCTGATGTGGTTATAGTTTTATATATATTTTTCTAGAACTCAAATTTGAGTTATAGGGCATGAAACAGTAGAAACAATAACATATAAAGAAAAAATATAAATATAAATTGTTTGAGGGGACAAACAGAGCTTGCAAACTGCATTGATTATCTTTCCCAGCATGACTTTCTTAAAGAAATCGCCTTGAATCCTTGAGCATTGTTTTTCCCTTTCCACCAATCCCACCCAACCTCACTTTCGTTTGCACCCACATCTTTAGCTCCTGCATGAAATAAGTTTCTTATTAGGTGATTCATAAAGAGGCATTTGGATGTGCCTGCCTATCCCAAAAACAAAAACACTGTAGTCAGTCTTCCTATCATCGCTAGATTCTCCAGTTTTCCTTTCTCTCCCTCCCTCTCTCTCCACACAGTGATAGTGAGCTCAGAAGGGCAGGCGCTCTGGGGTGACTGGCGCTCCCTGGCTGTGAGCGTGGGAACAATTCCCATATCTCTGTTATCTCTCACAGAGTCTGTTTTTAACTTTTTTACTCAATTTCAGGGAGTGACTCATATCTGTGTGTATGTATCTGTGCATGTTTATTTAGTATTTTGTGTACAGAGTCCAAAATTAGCAATTGCAGAGCGTCAAATGCAAGTAAAGTGGCTTTGGCGTGTAAATGAACGTGTAAATGACCCATTTTCTAGATACTGGAAAATGTAATTTCGTGACCACCACAGACAATAATGCATGGTTGAAATTACAAAGTATGGAAAAGATCAATACTCTTCTCAATTTGCCAGCCAAGGCAGGTGTAGCAAAAGGTTAATTTTGGACCCTGTTTGTATATATGTACTTTTGTATTTGTATCTAAATTGTTTTAAGTGTTCACACTAGATTAGGTGTCCACATATAAAACAAACCAGGAGGTCTGCCATTATTTTGTGATTGTATTCTCTGTCTCATATTGATATTTTTCCTGCTTCAAAAACCCCATTCTTTCCCTGTGCCTTTTTTCTGTCTCTGTGTGTGTTTTGTGTCTTTGTATGTGTCTCTGGCTCTGTCTGTCTCTGTCTTCCTGTCTCTGATCATCTCTCAACACCTACAGCGGAATAGGCGGTGGGGAAGGAGAGGGGTAATGTCTCTTTCTTTCTCCCTTTCCCCTCTGTTTGCTCTTATTGCCTGTCCTTCTCATCACACGCCTGTCCTCTCCTTCTATAGACTGATCTGTCTGTCTGATTGTTCGTCCAAACGTCCTCTCACCACTTCCCTCACACATAGGACACAAGCCAAGGGCGAAGTCATGTCATTCTTTAGCCAGCTGCAGTTACTCAATCTTACAGCTAATCATCTCTTGGTACTTTCTACAGTATGTGGACACCTAAATGTGTTAACATAGGTGTTTGTGTCTATGTGTACGTGTGTGTCTCTTTGTTTTTGTGTCGGCCTTCGAATACGATTTCTCTAAAACATCCAATAAGTGTGGTATGACTGATATACAGCCTGTGTGTGTTTTGTGTCTTTGTATGTGTCTCTGGCTCTGTCTGTCTCTGTCTTCCTGTCTCTGATCATCTCTCAACACCTACAGCGGAATAGGCGGTGGGGAAGGAGAGGGGTAATGTCTCTTTCTTTCTCCCTTTCCCCTCTGTTTGCTCTTATTGCCTGTCCTTCTCATCACACGCCTGTCCTCTCCTTCTATAGACTGATCTGTCTGTCTGATTGTTCGTCCAAACGTCCTCTCACCACTTCCCTCACACATAGGACACAAGCCAAGGGCGAAGTCATGTCATTCTTTAGCCAGCTGCAGTTACTCAATCTTACAGCTAATCATCTCTTGGTACTTTCTACAGTATGTGGACACCTAAATGTGTTAACATAGGTGTTTGTGTCTATGTGTACGTGTGTGTCTCTTTGTTTTTGTGTCGGCCTTCGAATACGATTTCTCTAAAACATCCAATAAGTGTGGTATGACTGATATACAGCAGATTAAATTGTCATGAATATGTGAGTCTATAATAAGGGCCCTTTTTATTTTGGAAATTAAATGATCCTGTTTTAATTCAAATTTATATTTTTAAATAAATGTGACTGGTATAGTGTGAATAGGTAAACCAATGTGCACTTTATTATTTTATTTACATTTATTTTTATACAAATTATTCATTTTTATATATTAATTTATTATAGATATATTTATTTAAATATTTTATTATTTATATTTTTATTTCAATATTATTTACAGACATGTAAAATACTCCTTTAAATATAATTTTTAAATACAGGTTAAATTACAGGGTATATTATATTGCATTTCAATCAGTAATTTTTTTTATATTTAACTTTTTATGTTTATATTTATACCTTTTTATATATATTTAAAGATTTTTTATATATATTTAATGTGCACTTCATCAGATGACTGGACACAGGTGGTCCTTTCATAGAATGACTCGCCTAACATTACAGGGACCTCACAACTAGATCTGGACATTATAGAAATTGAACAGATTAGACCGATACACTTGCAGAGTGATTTCATAGCATAAGGCGACATACAGAGGAAATGTCAGGTGATGTTCTATATACAGATCATTTTTGCAGAGCTGCTCATGTAAAGCAGCGAAACAAGACAACACAGAATGCATTAGGACCTCTTAGGGCCGGACAGGGTCTTTGCCCAGAAAGATAACACTATAATGGGATTACAGACAATCAAACTGCTCACCTCCTAGAAGGGCACTGTCCAATTGAGATGTGTATCACCATTTTGATGAACGCAAGATCCAATTAGGCAGTCTATTTGTTGCGGCAAAAAGTCAGCTGAGCGAGAAAGCAAGAGAGAGAGAGAACCTGCATAACTACAAAGTTCAAAGAAACAGATGCCAGTATGCACTTCCCTATGCTGGCATATAGAGTCAGAAACATGGATAACAAATACATAACATATGCATTAAAACATAGTGAATCAGTTGGCTATTTGCTTCTATTCTATAACATTCTAGAAACAATAAAATGAGACTCCATTTTTAAATTAAATAATAACAATAATATATTCATAAAAATTATTAATAATAACAATTGTCAGAATTATTCATTCATATGCCAAGAAGTAGAGTTCATTCATATTTACCATTAGGCTGTTCTTGGTTTTCAAGCAACGTGGCAACTTGATGTGATAATATATAGAATGTGTGATCACCGGTGTGCATTAAAACGGCTTTGAATGCAGCTCATCCAATCAGAAATGAGTCTTAACTATCTGTTTATATTGGTGACGACGTATTTCTTGGTGGGACATTTAGTATACAAAGGTCTCTGCATAAACATCTCATCCCTGCTTACTACACACCTTTCAACAGGTGTACTCTACTTTTACTAATAGAGTTGATTGGCAAAAAAGACACATTGGAATAGGACAGATGCACTGCATGCTCAAATATAGCATGTTTGAGTAAGCTAGTGGCACAGACAAGTAAGTTTTTAGTCATGAAATCGATCCAGATCATCTCTAGATGACTGAGACAACTCTCTTGTGCCTTAGAGAGATGTTTGTTGAGAAGGTCTGTGTGTGTTTAAGCGACACAGTTGTCCACATTTGTTGATTTGAACCTGTGAACTGCTTGAGCTGACAGACTTGAGCCTGCTGGGAGTTTTTTGTTTTTGTTTTTTTTTGGGTTTTTTTGCTGAGTGCTGGATTTGAACTTAATAAGTTGGGGTGAATCAATCTTAGAAAATGTGCTCTTTTCATATATATATATATATATATATATATATATATAAAAAAATTTTTTTGCACATTAAAGTACCATGTAGAATAAATCTGTATCAATCGCAGACTCCAGCAGAGCTCGGGTCTCCATTGCCCTGATGGTGAAGTGCTTATGGTCATATGACAGTGCCATGTGTCATACTATCGTATGCCATGTGACAGTATGAGCTCTAAAGCACTGGATCATGAGATCATGATGAACAAGGAGGCATGGCAACTAACTCCAGAAGCTGTCACCTTAGCGATGAAGTCACATACAATATGGCAATGCATGATTAGGCCTACTACTCAAATAGATTTAGATTTGTGTGAAAGTGTGCATATGTGTACGTTAGCGAGTCTCAGCCTCAGACAGCATGCCTACAGACCACCCACAGTCCTTTCACTGACCGCCTGATGCATATTGTACACTAAAAAAAGGCAAGTTCAGACTGACATTGATAGGCTAAATTTTATGAAACTTCCAGGAGTGAGTTTAGGCGGACTGACTCCGTCAAGCCGAACAGTTCTAAGAACAAAGAGGAATGGTTCCGGTTATTTTTCCACTTGAGTTTGATCGGCACGGCACAGTTAGGAACCGTTCTCGGGCCGGAATTCTCAGCATGGTTAGCTAACAGAAATATCTAATCATCCTCCATAATGTGGTCACTGGGCGAATTCCAAACGGCTTTTTTGCGCCCTTGAAGGGCACTTCGGGAAGGGGACACCATTTGTAGGGACGTTCCAAACGAAAGTGAACAACTGAATCCCTTCACGAAGGGCCCTTCCAGAAGTCCGTTACATGCGATGGTCACTTAAAGGTCCCCTGAAATGCTTAGAAACACGCAGCGTTACTCTATGTGTTGACGTCATTTTAACTGAAACAGGAAGACAGGGCGGGACATATCAAGCAGCCCCGCCCCTTTTTAAAATAGCCAATACCGTTTGTTTATATCACAGCTTGGGCTAGAGCCGTTCAGAGCCCTTGAGCTCCGTAAAGCCGCATTTGACAGGGTATGCCAGCCACAATCTCATCCATATTGCTATAAAATATTGCATTCTGTGTAGAATTAAAATAGCTCCGATACATTTTGTGGTCTGCGCATGTGATCCGCTCCGTGCTATCGTGTCTCTGGACCGGAGCAGAGTGTGTGTGCGCTGCGGTGGTTAGCGTGACACAGCGCCAAACCAGACTTCTTTTTTTCCTCAATGGAAAGCATATTTACACTGTTTGAATCGTTCCCTGTCCCCTATATAGTGCACTACGTGACATTCACTGTACAGAAAATACTAATTCTGTGGACAAGTGACAGATTTCAGCCGCGGCTTCAGCGTCTATTTTATAGTGTAGGGGCGGGCTCTTCGGATTCTAGAGAGCATTTGATTGGACAGAAAGTTTGATGAGAAGCTGAAGTACGATGCGATGTCAAAAAAAATTGTTGAGCCGTTTTGGCGGAAGTGAGGAACTGCAAGCTTTGAATGCTTATATCTTCTAAATGCTAATTTTGTCACTGTTTTGGAGCACACTGCCTTATAGATAACCTTAAGACTAACATATTGATACTAACACCCAAAAAAATTTAATTTTGATTTCATGGGGACTTTAACGGAAGTGATTTTCATTTGTGATCATGTGATCTTCAGTCAGGAGATCTTGCGATGCTTTTTAAAGCAAAGTTGGGGTTGATTTCGAGTTCACATACAAAGTAAATAGAATAGGCTAATTAAATTAGTCTATTTTAATGTAAGACAAAATATTTTCCGTCAGTGATAGAATTATGA